GTGTTACCACGCTGTGGCTGACGTAGTTGAGTCAGGAGTGTCCCTTATTTCTGTTGCTCTCTCAGTCCCTGTCCCAGGGTGTGTTTTACTACCGTATTTCGTGGTGCTGTATTCAGGAACCGGTGCTTAGCTAATGTTAGGAGGTGCAGTCTACACAAGGTCCCGGTGGTTAGTCATGCATCCTGATTTTGGGTGATGGAGGTGTAAGGTGTGTGTGCGGTCTCATTTGGTTTGTTCGCGTTCGATGCGTATCATGCTGTTTAGTTCTGTCATTGTGTTTGTATCTACGCATATGGAGTCTTGGAGATATGATAGCCTGTTTAAGTGCAGTGCAAGTGTCTGGTCAGTTAAAAGTGTAGGATAGTAGGAGGGTAGGACAGATAGGAAAGGGAAAGAAAAGAATGGAGGGGGGGAGGTATCCCTGAGGACACCCCGCCCTGCTCCCCTACGCCGCACAGCGCCCCCAGTCCGGTCCCCCACACAGCCCCCCCTGCTTTCCCCCCACTTACCCGAGCGGCTCCCTCCCCCCGCCTATAGGCCCCTAGAGACATACACGAACCATGGCAACCAAGTTTCCGCATGTTTGTTGGCCTTACCTGTAAGAGATGCATGTATCGCCTCCGCCCCCTGTATTTCCTCTACTCTGCGTATCCATTCTTCTTTATGGGGTGTGACTGTTTTTTTCCAGTATACTGGGATAAGCGCTTTGGCCACATTCAAGAGGTATCGTAGGATCGATCTTTTATATTGGGAGATTGACATCAGTGATATGTGGAGTAAAGCCAGTTCGACTGTCCATTCGGTCGTTTCCACTAGTATTTCCTGTATGTTAGATCTGATCATTTCCCAGTAGCAGGAGATTTTGCTACATTCCCACCAGATGTGCATCATTGTGCCCTGTTCCGTCAAGGCATCTCCAGCACGTTGGTGGTATCGTTGGGAATATTCTGTGCAGAGAAGATGGAGTTCTGTACCAGTTTGTTAACAGTTTATAATTTGTTTCCTGAAAGCGTGAGCTAATAGAGCTCTTGTAATGCCAAAGTAGTGCTTTGTCCCACTGTTGTTGCGTGAGTTGTTTCGCCAATAACAATTCCCATTGTCTGCGGGACAAGTCATGTTCAGTCAGGTGTCCAGTTAAAAGGTGTTGGTATAGTGTGGAGATCGTTTTGGCAATCGCGTTGCCCGTCGCGCAGCAGTCCTCGAACCACGTGAAGTCTCGGTGTACGCGCTCTCTATTGCTGAGTTTGTCATAAAAATGTTTCAATTGTAAGTATCGGAGTATAGTCAGCATGGTGCGAGTTCCACCGCTCAGTAGTGAATCCAAAGACTGTAACCCCCCATTCTGGAGCGCTGTGTGAATAGGGATATATCCGTGGTCCTCCGAGAATGGCCAGGCACCTGCAGGAAGTCCCCCCCCTATTTTGCGATTATAAGTAATCGGAAGTAGAGGGCTCGGAGTTGGTGATATGTGTTTTTGCTCTCTAAGTGGACTCCAACTGCGTAATGTCTGGGCCACGAGTCCTGTGTCGTCTCACCACCGCTCCAGGGTATGCCTCCTTGTATCCCAAACAGCAGAGTGTAAGGCTGCCTTATTTCCTTCAGCATTCAGGGCTATACATTGTTTGTGCTCAGGGTTTGTGTGCCATTCTAATATACGTTGCAGTACTGTGGCTTGGTAATATTTTTTGAAGTCTGGTAGAGCTAACACTCCGTAATGTCTGGGTAGGCATAATGTGTCATGTTTGAGTCTTAAGCACTCTCCTCACCAGACATAGTGCAGAACCGCCGACTTCAGCTTAGTAAAGAATGAGGTTGGTAAGGCAATTGGAAGCGTCTTTAAGGGGTAGAGAAGTCTAGGTAGGATATTCATTTTAAGGACAGCTACGCGTCCCTGCCACGAGATATGTGGGTATGTCCACTTTGCTATATCTGCTATTAGTGTGTAGAGGAGGGGGATATAGTTATGGGAGTACAAGTCCTTCAGGTTTGGAGTTATCCAGATTCCGAGATATTTCATCTTGGTGCTACACCATTTAAAAGGGAATATCGTTTCTAAAGTTCTGTAATCCTCCTCCGGGAGCGTTATATTTAGTACCTCGCATTTGGTGATGTCGTTGTAAGGTCCTCACTTGCCCTTTCCCCCCTTGGGGGTCCTGTCTATCCAGGAATGCTGGGAGGCCCTTTGTCTGCCTTCGTAGGTCCCCATGGATTTTGCGATGTAGAGAGTCGTGGTGGCGGTAGCAGAGGCGGTAAAATATGTGCGTGTGCTTCCCCTCCTCCATGGGTGCAATGACAATGGCGGTGGCGCGTGTGTGTGTGATTCCCCTCCCTTCCCCCCTACCCCAAGTTTGTGGAGTGCCAGGTAAGCCTTGGGCCCGCTGTCTCCCCATTAGAGGGGTCCCCCACCCTCAAGTAGCAGCATCCCAAGGTTACATTATGGCTTATTTTATTTAGGTGCGGAAGCCCAGGAGAGAAAAAAAAAAAGGTCTGTGCCAGTGGAGCCACAGGGTGGCTCTAATCTGCCAAGGTAAGCAGTCGCTCCCCATTGTCAGGGTCCCTTTCTTTTTGTGTAGCTCCCTTCTTCCTCGGTTGCTGCCAGAGTGTCCCTGAGTCTAAAGGTTAGTGGTTTGGCTGACCCCATTCCGAGCATCCCGGTCACCTCATCCTCCATATACATATTAGGGCCCCGAAGTGTGGTGCCCAGGATGCTAAGTTGTCTCCCATGTCCCCCCTCCCAAAGTGTTGTGTGTTGTCCCTCCCATCCGGTGGCTGTAAGGGTGAGGAAGGTCCACTGGGCCAGAAGGGAGCAGGGCTGTCCTCCAGAGGGGCACTTTGGACCCGGAGCTGATGCGGTAACAGTCAGGACGGCCAGGGCGGGGTGGTAGGCGTACGTACTCCGCATGGCCTCCCTGGTCCGGGGCGTCTTCTCGGTCGGGGTCCCGGCGGGGTCCCTCTTCTGCGCCTCTGGGGTATCCTCTGGAGTCGGGGTTTCGGGCCCAGTGAGTCAAGGATCCAGTTAGGGACCGGCGTGGGTGGCAGGCCCAGTCCCTCCAAAAGGCGCGGAACTTCATCGGGGTGGTGGGCGGAGATCCATCCATCCTGGGAGCGTGCAAGGAGGGCAAATGGGAATCCCCACTTATACGGTATGCCGCGATCTCGTCGGATGGTGGTCACCGGTCGGAGAGCCCTCCGTGCATCCAGCGTCATAGGGGATAAGTCGTGGTATAGAGCAACTTGGGTGCCCATGTAGGGCCACGTGGGTCGTTCCCTGGACTTATGCATTATGGCCTCCTTAAGTTGGTAAGAGTGGAGGCAGCAGATTAAGTCCCTCGGGCCTTCCTCTGGTGCGCGAGGTCGCAAGGCTCTGTGTGCTCTGTCAAATTTAAAGCGCGGCGGCGCCTCCTGCTGCAGTATGTTGCGGAATATCTTCTATGGCGCGCCGCATGGTGAGTAGTAGCTCTCCCTGTCTGGATATCGCTGTATCCGTCGTGGAGATCCTAGCTGTCTTCGTCTCGAGGGCTGGTTCTAGGGATTGGATGCGGCCTGCTTGGGCGCCAACTTCTGTACGGATCCCCGCTATTTCCCCCCAGAGGGCATCTTGTATGGCGGTTGTGTTGGAAAGCAAATAATTTTTAGTTGCCATGGAATTCGCTATCATGCGCAGCTCCTCTCCGATGCGGCCTAAGGCCGACGGCTCAGTGCCGGCCGTTGAGGCCGGGGATGGCGTCGTGGATCAGATCACTTCGGCCTCGTCATCTGGGCCCCTCTGGGAGTGTACGAACCCATCCATCGGGCCTTGTTGAGGCTTTGGCTGAGCACCCCTCGGGGTAT